TCAGCATAGATGGCCACCACAAAATTGTACATTGACTCCCGGCTGGCCTGGGCCAGGGCCAAGGCAGCGGGGGCTGTTCCCTCACTGTTTCCTGAATGGCTTCACAGGCTACATGAAAACACTTTGCGGGCCGTATCCAGGTCCCGGGCCTTGTGTTTGACATGTCTGATATAAAGTCTCCTGGTTGAGCAGGGGATTGGATTAGAAGACCTCCAAGGTCCCTTCCAACTCTGTTATTTGTCAACTCAATTTCTGGGTGTGAACACAGAAGCACAAACTACTAACCAATGAGGGTAGTGCTAAGCCACAAAGAAACAAAGCAATGTTAAAAATAACCGTGTTAGGTGTATACAGGTGCAGGTGTTTTATTATTTATTTATTAGATGTTTATCCCATCTTTATTACTTTATAAGTAACTCGACAACCATGCATAATATTCCTTCCTCCTCCTGATATTTTGTTTTTGGGTCCTTTGCACACCTGGAAAATATGGAACTGCTTAGGCTGAGAAAACATGATGCTTCTGAAGAGCATCCCTCAGTTAATTTCATGGCTGAACATAGATTTAAATCTGGGTCTTCCCAGTTTACACTTACTTATGGGATGTTTGGGGTTATTGTATATGATATGACATAGTTTCCCTCCATTTTCCGTTATTATTATTATTATTATTATTGCAGTAGCAGTTCCTTGCACCCAGGTGTGAATCCTCTGCCAGTCCAGTGCTTTACATCATTAAAACCTACCATGCAGGAAAAAAAAACCCAAAATGTATGATGCACCAATGATCACCAGAGATAGCAATGTGCATCATAATGGCAAAGAGAAAAGACTAGCATTTTGTTAATTTATTAGCTCTAAGAACTCACAGAAAACTTTATAGCAGATTTTCAAAACTGCAGTATTTTGACCTTTTAAACTTTCTGTGTGCGGTTTATTCCTGTGTTTTGAAGAGTTTATTTTTCTTAGGGATTTGCACATTCCTTTTATGTAGTTGAACATGTCTAACTTTTGCAAGATGCACTGATTTGGGGTGGAGGTGTTCAGACTTGAGGTAAACAAGAACGAGAGATTTGAGACGGTATAATGCCGATTGTTTGAGCTTTAAAGCTTTTGAAAAAGTCAGCCTTTTTTAAAGTAGGCCTTGTATATTGTAATGTAAGCAGAACATAAGAAAAAAAAATTCCAGTAGATTTTTTTTTAACGTAAAATATGTTTGCAGTCAGGATTCTTGTATTTTTAAAAAATGCACAGAAAAATGGATTAATTAGAATGCTTTTAAGACACCAGTGCTGCTTATTATGTTAGCAGAAAAGTTAATTAATCACCAGAGAACTGGATTTATAAGCAGGCAAGTATATGACTAGACCGGGGAAACAAAAAACCCAAGTCACAAATTGCCATGCACATGCATAGCACATACATAACACAATCAAACACACTTCTTTTAATCTTAAAACATTTAAACCACATTGCACAAACAGGTGATTTTACATGGACTTGAATTCTGCTTATGAATCATGGCATGCAAAAGCCAAATTTGAGGCCATCATTGTGGTCACAGGTCCAAATAGAACAGACATGTCAAACACGAGGCCCGGGAGCCGGATGCAGCCCACGAAGTGATTTCATGTGGCCCGCAAAGCTATCCTGGAAACAGTGAGGGAACGGGCCCCGCTGCCTTGGCCCTGGCCCAGGCCAGCTGGGAGCCAATGTACAATTTTGTGGTGGCCATCTTGGCACTTGCCCCAGTGGACGATGCCTTGGCACTTGCCCCGGTCCCACCCCCTTCTGCCAGAGACCCTCAGATCTGTCCCACTCCTGCCCAGGCCCCCACAGGCACCTTGATGCGAATGATGTAGAACTGGCCATGCCCACCCAGTAGGCCACACCCACCCGGCCCTCCCAGGGCAACTGCAATGCTGATGTGGTCCTCAGTGAAATTGAGTTTGACAGCCCTGAAATAGAAGGTTGAACAAGCTCTCTTTGAGATGCCTATAGTAAAATCAAACCAGAATATCTCCACTGAAGATGGCAATTGTATGTTGCAGACAGGGAAATGTAACTGGGGGCTCCTTGGTGTTCTCTGAGGTTGGTTGTTTTCTTGCAGACATTTCATTACCAAACTAGGTAACATCATCAGTGCTTGAAGGGGGAGGAGCTTGCTCTTATTTTTATATAGTAGCAGCTTGCCCTGTCAAATGTTGGTGGGAGTGTTCTTGGTGGTTCCTTAATTAGGCTGTGGTTTTCTGTTAGTTTGTCTGCTTGGATTGTTCCTTGATTTGGGGGTATTGATCTCTGCTCATAGAGAAATGTCACTTTTAACCTCAAGTCCCAAAGGTGCTTTTTCCAAAAGGCAACTAGACTTCCTTGGGGGTTTTTCCCTTGAAGACGTTTCCCTTCTCATCCAAGAAGCTTCTTCAGTTCACAGAAAGACTTCACTTCTGTGAAAGCAAAACATTTTCAAAGGAGGGGGGGGACCCAAGAAAATTCAGTTGTCTTTTGTAAAAAAAAAAAAAAACTTTTGGGACAATCATGACCTGGATGATTGAGACTCTCCATAGACTTTTAGCATCAAGGCATAAATAATTACTGAGAATACTAATGAATATGGATCAAAATCATTATTTCCTGTATATGCCAGCATTGGAAATAGCTCTATTGTAGACGATGGTGAAGACAAGCGTTCTGTCTTGATTTTGTACCTTGCAATTTAATGATGTGGAAAAGTAATAACCCTGTGTTTAGAGTCACACTTCTAGGGTAATAGTAAGCTGATTAGCTTCATCTTTTCTCTTCCTTGCTGGCTTTTTCCTCTTGTATAAATTTATTTTAAATTGCCGGCCTTATCTTGAAACTGCTCTTTAAGCGACCTCTTGTTAGGTCTACTTAAAGATCATGTGTCTTTGTGTGTTTGGCAGGCTCTGGAAATCGGCACTCAACTCACACACATACACCCACCCCCCAAAACAAGAATACAGAAACAACACCAGCAAAAGGGGAGGGGGGAAGATCTCCATTAGCACATCCTGCTGCACTCCTTTGATTGCATAATCAACAGCTAATGAAATCGTCCTGGTAACCAGAGTGAGGGGTTTTTGAAGCACATCCCCTCGAGACTGAAGTGGAAAGAGAATTGTGCCACTGTAACGGGAAGCCTATTGATTGTTCCCTGTTTGAATCTGATTACGCTTAAGAGGAGTAAAACAAGGACACGGTCTCCAAACTTGACTCACGTGGTTGTCGTTTTGCATAGAAAGTTGCTGTTGGGAGGCATTGCGAGAAATGCAGGCGTCTCGGCATGTTATCAAGACGAGATCAAGAGGATGCAGACTATAATTGGCTAACTAATTTTCAGTAGGCCAGGGTAAGGTTGTCAGTGTGGCGTGTTGCCTTGTCTGGCCATAGAAACATTCTTCAAAATTGCGAAGGAGCTTGAGAAGCGTCAAGAAAATAGGTTGCAAGAGAGAACAATGCTCTTCCTTCTTTAGTAGTCCCAATAGAAGAGAATATTTGTAGCTCAGAGTTGAACTGGGGAGTCTTCAGTGCTCTCTTGAGGTTGCTTGCTTGCAGACATTTCATTACCAAACTAGGTAGCATCATCAGTCCTAGTAGGAAGTGGGGCTTGCAGTCATTTATATTCTAATGGCTTGCCACTGTTGGTGAGACTGGTCTCAGTGATTCCTTGATTTACTGTTAGTTTGTTTGGCAGTTCTTCGATTGGGGTTAATCTTGGTATTAATCTCTGCTCATCTGAGTGTAGATTGCTGGTAAGAGGGTATTGTGGTCTTTTTTGTTTCCTGTTTGGTTTTTAGATTGTTTCTTATGAATGGTATGTAGATGTTTGTGTGCCTTTTGATGGCTGAATTATCTGAGTGCTTAGGATTACAGAAATTCTCTAGCTTGGTCTCGGACAGGGGTAGACAACCTTGGCTCTTTTATGACTCTTTGCAGCATTATAAGGCCTTTTTGCCCGGAAAAGAATTATCTCTTGCCACTTACCTCTTTCTACAGGAAAAAAAGTCCACTTTTTTCAGTGCCATCGCATTCGAGCAGTCACTAAACGAACGGTTGTAAATCAGAGACTACCTGGGTCTGGATTAAAATGTGGTTTAAATATGTAAAGGTAACAAATTCCCCCATCCAGTCGTGTCCGACTTCAGGGAGAGTTGCTCATCTCCGTTTCTTAGGTGAGGGAACCAACGTTGTCTGAAGATGCTTTCATGGTCAGGTGGCTGGAACGTTGTTACCTTCCCACCAAAGTGGTACCTATTTATCTACTTGCATTTCTATGCTTTCAAACTGCTAGGTTGGCAGGAGCTGAGGCAAATAACAGGAGCTCACCCAGTGGTGGGATTCAACCAGTTTGCGCCACTTCGGCAGAACTGGTAGCTAATTTTTTGTTGCCCAGGCCCAGAACGGACTTCTGGAAGCGGCATCCACAGAGAGAACCGGTTGTTCGCATATTTGAATGGCTCACCCCGTCACTCAGGACTCGGATCTTGAACCTGGGCTGTCAGCTTCCAGCTGCCAAGCTCAGGGTCTTCAATTGCTAAGCCATCCCATCCCCCTGCTTTAAATGTGACAGCTCTTAAAAATGTTTGGCTTTCCCCCCCCCCAAATCTGATTTTGAATTTTCAACCACCTTCTCACCCGCCCTCCCTTTCCCCAAAATACTTTTCTATTACTACTTCCTTTTTTCTTCTTCTCTGTTACAGTTCCCCCAATCCATGACAGATCACAGAACTAACAAGGATCAGTGTTAACTCTTTGGCTTAAGCTGAGGTCATTCTGAGAAACCTTTAGAACAGGGGTCTTCAAACTTGGCCCTTTTATGACTTGTGGACTTCAACTCCCAGAATGCTGAGGAATTCTGGGAGTTGAAGTCCACAAGTCATAAAAGGGCCAAGTTTGAAGACCCCTGCTTTAGAATGTCATAATACCCTGCCTGCACTAATGTTTTCTTTCTCTTTCTCGCTCTCTCGCTCTCCCCTCAACAGGAGGAAACCCCAAAGGGAAGTTTGCCCTTGGCCTGGTTCAGAATGAATGGAAGGTATACGTCAAGAGACCTCTGGATCGAGAAGAACAGGATGTCTACCTGCTGAACATTACAGCCACCGATGGACTGTTTGTAACCCAGAGTGCAGTGGAAGTGATTGTCACAGATGTGAACGACAACAGCCCTGTCTGTGATCAGGTTAGTTGGCAGCTTTCTCAACGGGATGGAAATTAAGATAGACAAACAGATATATAAAACTGAAGAATTCTTTTTTGGGGGACATATTATGTATCATGTTTCTAATGACAAAAGATCTGGAGATGGGTCTGCACGATCTAAAAGTGGATAATGAATGGGGCGCCGGTGTTGAGCAGCACTTCCAAACCAACTGCTGTGTACATTGCATAGGAAAAAGAAGAATGAGGTAGCAGTGAGGAATGAAGACTGGTACTCTGTACAGAAAGCGATAGCAATATGCAGCTTGAGAGTGTTTTACAGCAGGGGTCCCCAACCTCCGGTCCATGGACCATTACTGGGCCGCAGCATGCCAGCAACCGGGCCTCATAAACAAGCAAAGCCCCATCCATGGGATGCAAGTAGTACACAAAACCACGCCCCCTCCAGTCCACGGAAAAATCTCTCTCACGTAACTGGTCCCTGGTGCCCAAAAGGTTGGGGACCTCTGCTTTACAGCACTCTCTAACCCAATGGTTCTCAACCTGTGGGTCAGGACCCCATTTGGGGTCGAATGACCATTTCACGGGGGTCGCCAAACAAGGATGTCCGCCATTTTTTCCCCTTTTGTTTGGCCTTTGACACCCGGTGATGTATAAGTGGTTGGGGGTTCACTACAACATGGGGAACTATATTATGGGGTCGCGGCATTAGAAAGGTTGAGAACCACTGCTCTAACCAGTTTACAGAATCAGCATATTTCCCCCAACAAAACAGAGTCAGCATATTGTCCTCATTTTACCAACCTTGGAAGGATAGAAGGCTGAGTCAACCTTGAGTCAGTCAAGATCAAAGCCCTGGCAGTGGGCAGAGTTAGCCTACAATACTGCATTCTAATCACTGTATCGCCACGGCTCTTCATCTTTTTCAAAAAAGGTGAAAACCAAAGTAAATTCTGAAAGTAAATGTATTTAGCTTCTCAAACGTGGTGATAAAGTCACCTTTTCCTAAGGCAAGATTAGTGTTAGGAGTGTTTAGTTAATCTGAGGGCTGTAGACGTGAGAGGTCTTCGGTGCTCTCTGAACTTGGTTGTTTTCATTACCCAAACTCAGTAACATCATCAGTGCATTGTAGTGCACAATGCACAGTGGTGGTAGAGGTGCTTAACAGAATCTCAACAAAGAGGATATGGTTATTTAGCCCATCTACCTTTCCACTGACACATTCAAAGGAATCCCTCAAATTACTGTCAGCCAAATTTGCTGCATCCCCACACAGCAAAATTGTTACAACGCATACGTTCACAAAGCATGTTCTCCAATTTGATGCCCTCCCAAAATGCTGACCTACAATTCTTGCCGTTGTCAGACTCAGCCTGAGAACCACAGTTGGTGTGCCAGATGAAGCTGTGTAAAGGCCTTCCTAGCCCCATCTGCCATCTGCTTATCAAACAGGAGCTCTGAGACCACGAAGACCCCCCCAAAAAAATTTTGCATCCCATCCCTTAGGTGGGAAATTCCACTTCATCCAAGCTCAAAAGTGGAATATTCCCTGATTTGGACAGTCCAAACACTCCAAGCTACTCAATCTTGGTAGGAATGAGTAGGATCCAAACTCATCGGTTTCCAGACGCTGGGACAGAATCTCAACAGAGCCAGCCCAGAGTCAAAAGATATAATTGGTATCATGAGCCGTGGTGGCACAGTGGTTAAAATGCAGTACTGCAGGCTACTTCTGTTGACTGCCGGCTGCTTGCAGTTTGACAGTTCGATTCTCACCGGCTCGAGGTTAACTCGGCCTTCCATTCTTCCGAGGTCGGTAAAATGAGGACCCAGATTGTTGGAGGCAATATACTGACTCTGTAAACCACTTAGACAGGGCTGTAAAGCATTATGACGCGGTATATAAGTCTTAAGTGCTATTGCTAAGTGCTATCACCTTACTGACGATACCAAACCTAAAATCAGCAAATGATCTCTACAATCCTCGACTTATGACCATAATGGAGCCTGCCCACCATGGTCATAACTCAACCATTTTTGTGGTGATAGTTAAGCAAACCAGAAATAAATGCCAGTTTGGGGCAAAACCATCATAAAATGTAGTCACGTGATCTTTGGACCCTGTCAGAGTCCATAAATGTGGCCCAGTTGTGAGTACAGTCACTTATTCATGGGGTAGGGGTGGAAATCCTCATAACTTAGAATACGGGTCATAAGTACCTCCTAGGGCAGGGGTAGGTAACCTTGGCTCTTTTATGACTCATGGACTTCAACTCCCAGAATTCCTAAGCCAGCCATGCTGAGGGGAAAAGGAGAGGTTTCTGAGCTGAGTAATGCTGGCTCAAGTCCACGAGTCATAAAAGAGCCAAGGTTGCCTACCCCTGTCCTAGGTAGATCTGTTGGAACTTCAAACAGTCATTCAGTGATCAGTCATAAGTCGAGGACTATCTGTACTACTTGTATCAAAAGCAGTGAAGTGCCATCCCCTTAATTTGGCTTCTGCCCTTCTTATTTTGCTTTACCTGTCACCCCTTCCTGTCCAAATCAATGTTCTCATCTTCAGATCAAGAGTACCAAACGCACGAAAGGAGGAAACCACACTTGTACAACATCCTTACAGTGTGTTTAAATTACACCAAAGGTGCGAACAGGCATTCCTTCATATGGTTGTCCACATCCATGTCTTTCCATAAGGCTGGATCCTTCCTTTTAGAGTGCTTATGAGGTTACCTGTGTTGGAGATCCACTCTTATTTTCCACTGAATATGGAAAGCCTAGGAAGCGAGCAAGACCGTCTCGCTCCGTGGATTCAATTTCCCATGATTTGAAGAAGACAATAGAACCCCCACTACACTATTCATTCTTTCATAAATGTTACTTTTTAAAAAAATAATAAATGTTATTATTCATATTTTGCCGCAGCCAAATAAACCAACATGGTGAATCAAGAACGTTGGAATTTTAATTGACCCTCATTTGTCAGTCTTAAGTTGGAATAACTGTTCTTTTTTTTTTCTTTTCATCATAAGGTTACATATATGGCAATATTTCCTGAGGACATCCCTCCCAACAAAATCATCCTTAAAATGGGCGCACAGGATGTAGACATTGGATCCAATGGTGAAATTCGCTATTCTTTATATGGCTCTGGAAACGGCAAGTTTCTTTTGGACCCCGAAAGTGGTAAGAAGCTGATGAATTTTTACACAGATGATTTCTTTGTTTACTGTTGAAATTAAAGCTACTTAGGAAACCTGCCGATTTCTCTCCCTCAGCCCCCTGGGTACCTCCTTCACATTGCTGCCAAAATCTGCTGGCTGTTTCCAACATTTTACTTATTTAGAAGTTGCCTAGTGGTTCTAAAAATAGATCTTACAGAGGAGATTAGCATTTGTCCAGTAGGATAGGATAGGATAGGACAGGACAGGACAGGACAGGACACGACAGGACACGACAGGACTGGACAGGACAGGACATAGAATAACAGAGTTGGAAGGGACCTTGGAGTCATCCAGTCCAACCCCCTGCTCAAGCAGGAGCCCCTATACCAGAGGTCCCCAACCTTTTGGGTACCAGGGACCAGTTCCATGGAGAGAGGTTTTTCTGCAGACCGGAGAGTGTGTGGTTTTGTGTTCTGCCTGCATCCCACGGATGGGGCTTTGCTTGTTCGTGCGAACCGGTTGCTGGCGTGCCGCGGCCTAGTACTGGTCCACGGACCAGGGGTTGGGGACCCCTGCCCTATACCATTTCAGACAACTGGCTGTCCAATCTTTTCTTGAAAGTCTCCAGTGAAGGAGCACCCACAACCTCTGGAGGCAAGCTGTTCCACCAGTTAATTGTCCTCACTGTTAGGAAATTTCTCCTTAATTCCAGGTTGATTTTCTCCTTGTTTAGTTTCCATCCCTTGCTTCTTGTCTTGCCTTCTGGTGCTTTGGAAAATACCTTGACCCCTTCAAACTATTTAGGAATGGAATGGAGTGAAATGGAATAGAGATCAGGACGAGAACAGAATGCTTCACTTCATTTGGCCAAGTGTGATTAGACACACAAGGAATTTGTCAGCGGTGCAGAAGCTCTCAGATGCATCTTAAGATGCACCTTTTCCTTCCCTTTCCTATACGAAGCTCCTTTCTTTGTTTTAAGGACCTTAACCCAAAAATGAGCCTGTGGCAATTGTTGTTCACCTGTTTGCTGGTGTGATTGGCCACGTGCATGACTAACCACCATCTACGAGTATTCTTCTGCCTGAGTGAAGCCTGTGTGTTACTTCCAATAGTATGTCTATCCATGAGAGGCGTGCATTAAAAATGCACTTTTTTTTCCTATGAGGTCTCTTTCAGCTTAATGAAAGAAATATAGCTTGCAAAGTTGCCTTGAATGGAAGAGAGAATTTTTCTAGCAGGAGGGTAGTGCTTTGGCACTTATTTAATGATGAAGTAGGCAAATGTTCTCTTGAGTGTCTAATCTTCCACTATACAATCATCTTTTCAGCAGCTTACCACTTTTCTGCCTCCTGACACTTCATTTCCTCTATTACAGTACACGTTCCTCCATCCCAAGCTGCTTATCAACAGTTTTGGAGGCGATACGAGAAGGGGGTTACAATAAAAAGGGGGACATTCTGATCATTTAGCAGCAGCAACTTGTTATGTCAGTGGTAGGAAAGTGCAGATTAGGTAAGGATGGCCCACTTGGCGTTCAGAGATCCAGGGAGTGCTGTAAGGGAGACATCATTATGGTGAAGAACATCTAGCATCTGTGAACATTTACCTTGTTGAATAAAAAAAAAAATGGAAAACTTTAAAAATGATAATACCATAAGTCAGATGGCGAACCTATGGCACGGGTGCCAGAGGTGGCACTCAGAGCCCTCTCTGTGGGCACGTGCGCCTTCGCCCCAGTCCTAGGCCTTTAGCTGGGTTTTATAAAAAACCTTTTCGCTTTAGGCCTCTGCTGCCATGTACAAAAAAAAAAAAAGTCCAATCAGTCAGTTTCAACTTCTCGCGGGAAAAAAAGATTTTGCAAAGTTGGAATTGATTGATTGAACTTTTTAGTCCCACCCAGTCTGCCGCCACCACACCCACGCCCACCCACTGGGCCACACCCACCTAATGGGCCACACCCACCGGCACCCACGCTGCATGTGGGTTTTGGGTTGCAGTTTGGGAACTCAGTCTCTAAAAGGTTCGCCATCACTGCCATAAGTGGTCCATGGACAATGGATTAGATATTGAATGTAGGTCAAACTTCCCTGGTTTGTGCCCATTGCAGATCCATTGAGAAAGAGTCAAATTCCCAGATTCTTTCCCATAAAGTTCCAGGCAGAATTAATTTTTGTCCCTGGTTGATAGTGAGCAGAGGGTTATAGAATCCACACCTCTTCAAGTTGCCAACGTTGAGAAACGCTGGCTTAACATGCTGTCCACACAACACAGTCGCTCAGGGTCCAAGCCATTTTAAGATAAAATTACCTTGTAAATTTAAAATAAATTACTTTAAAAAAAAACAAAATAATGGTATTAGTAATAAAATAACGATATTGTAATGACAATCCATTTATTTTTCCTTGTTTTCCTTTTCTTTTTCCCTTGAATTTGTTTTAGGGGAGCTCAAAACCTTGGCTCCATTAGACCGTGAAAAGACCCCTGTCTACAATCTGATCGCCCGGGCAACTGATGGGGGAGGGAGGTTCTGTCAATCAAAAATCCATCTAATATTGGAAGATGTCAATGATAATCCTCCACTGTTTTCTTCTGACCACTACACTGCCTGTGTCTATGAGAACACTGCCACCAAAGCCTTGTTGACCAGAGTTCAAGCCAATGACCCTGATGTAGGTGAGTATAGGACACTAAAAGGAAAACTGATTGGAAGCATGTAAGTAGAACTTGGTAAGAGGTAGCCTTTATTTTTCTTATAATTTATGCATTATCTTTTAGCTGAAGTTGTAAAACTCAGAAATAGCACAAGAACCTAAAGTACTCAAATCTGGATCTGGTCCCCAAACCCAAAGCTCACGTTTGTTGGTTAAATAGTGTCTTAGCTCAGTTAGGTCTAGTGGTGAAGTCCCCAGACTAGAAACCAGGAGACTGTGAGTTCTAGTCCCACCTTAAGCATGAAAGCCAGCTTGGTGACTTTGGGCCAATCACCAGGAGACCGAGTTCTAGTTCTGTCTTAAGCATGAAAGCCAGTTGAATGACTTTGGGCCAGTCGTTCTATCTCAGCCTAAGCAGATCGAAATTTGAATGCAAACAGATTTTCGTGCTTTTCCCTTCCTGCCATTCTCTCCTTTTGTGGCTGCTTAATGTCAGAAATAAGAGAGCCGAGCAATGAGAAAGAGAAACAAAGAGCCAGCAGATTTTATAGTTAATGATGAATAGCGCAGATTTCATTTTCTAACTTTTGACTTGTAGTTAGCTATTAAGGTCAAATGCAAACACAGGATGCTGGTAATAAAACATGACAGTATTGATATGTGAATATTAAAAGAAAGATCTCTTGATTCAGCAGTCTGCTACTACAGCTATAAATCCTTCCATACTGAAGACATGCGACCCTCTCTCCATGCGTAGTCATCTTTTGTGAGCATGCTATTTGCACAATGATACCTGCTTTAAAAGTGTATTTTTGTGGGAAGACAGTAGGAAGGGCGTAGAATGAAGAGGGAGGCCGTTAACTGTTTGCACAGTTCTGTGTTCTGCTTGCTCCGAGGGTGTTTCCAAGCCTATCAAGTCCAAAGTACCATGAACATTTCCAGAAAGAGCACGTTCCAGGAAAAAATTGAATAATCTGAGCAACACCAGCAAATAAAAAAGTTATGCATAACTAGAGAGACGGGCTTCTAATTAGTCTAGGTGTTTATCAAATGTCTGGTAGATGTTTTGACAATCTGAAACTTGGTGATATTCTTCAATTTCATGTTTAATTTTTTTGGTACAGTACAACTACCCTTCTTTCCCCTTCATTCCTCTCCTTCCTTTTTTCTCCTCCCTCCCTTTATTCTCTTTCTCTCCTTCCTCCCTCCCTCTCCTTCCTTCCCTCTCTTTCTCTCCTCCCTCCCTCCCTTCCCTTTCTCTCTTTTTTCCTTCCCTTTCTCTCTTTTCCTTCCTCCCTTCCTTCCTTCCTTCCTTCCTTCCTTCTCCTACCACAATCAAAACTCTTGACAGATGCTACACAAATTGATCATAATGGTCTGATAGGAAACATTGGTGCTAGATCCTGCTGGAAAGGGAATTAGCCATGCCTGCCAACAACACAATCAGATGAGAACATACCATACTGTAGTCCTGAACACAAGTCAAGTTTTACTTTTCATTTTACTCCACCGGTGGCACTGCGTTTGCCACTTCTAATCTTAGATATCCTTGGTAAACCAAGGAAGTAACTAGGATCAGCCAAGCAACAAAGCTTCCCAAGGAGAATTTCACCAGTTCTCCAGGTTTTGCCAGTAGCTCACTAGGCGTCTGATGGAACCACTTACCACAGGGGTCCCCAACCCCCGGTCCATGAACTGGCACCGGTCTGCAGCATGTCAGCAACCGAGCCGCACAAACAAGCAAAGCCCCATCTGCAGGATGCAGAAAGCATACAAGACCCATGCCCCCTCCGGTCCGTGGAAAAAACTTTCTTCATGGCACCGGTCCCTGGTACCCAAAAGGTCAGGGGCCGCTGACTTACCAGATTTCCCCCCCAAAAAACCACCCCCCACTTCCCAAATGCCTACTTTTTAGGTCCCTTAGACACCTGAGATACATAATGTAATGGGACTACTCGCCTACAGAAATGCTAGGCAGTAATCAGTTTCATCTGAACCAAAGCATGGGATGATGGACATCCTCTCTGTATCCAGATGCCACAATGATAGCAAAAATGCAATGTAATATGTGACCTTCTGTGTTCTGGGCCAGAAACTATCTGGAACAATTACGGGTCATTATACGTAGCACAAACCTTCGCAGTCATTGATCAGAGTTGGTTTCCTGGACTTTCTCAAAGTCTGACCCCAAGGTGTGGAGATTACAATCCCCCTACTTCAAAAGGCAAGAGATGCTAACAAATAGTGACTTGGACAAAGCCAGTAGCTTCCCATGGCTGAGGATACAACTGAATCTTGTTCTCCCTGATCCTTGTCCAACACGCTAACTATCTCACTTGATTTGCCTTTGCAATGCAACAAGAACTAAAGAATTTGACGAGTATAAATAAAACGAGTCAAAGAAAATAGATGGTATTCAAGGTTCCACCGTTTCCGATAGATAATGTTTCCCAAATGGAGCTTTTTGTGGAGGTAGCTGTTCCTATGGGGAAGATTAGTCTAATTGTGAAAATTTCATTTATTTTTTCTTCCCTCTCCTTAGGCTTTTTAGTTGTACACTGAGGGAAATAAAGGCATATTCATTAAGTAAAGCAGCAACTAATGGCACAATACACCCCTGAGGAAATGACCATAAAAGCTGTCATAATCTGCAAGGGATGGACAATATATTCTTGAATTTGGAGGTGTAGCCTTACACTATCATTTTCTTTGGGTACAGGATTATGTAACTGTGTAGTGAAGGAGACCATTATGATTTCCTTTCTTTCCCAGATGGAGCAATATGTCCTAGCTCTGAGGTAATACCAGTGTTGATTCTAGATCAGTGTTTCTCAACCTTGACCATTTTAAGGCATGTGGACTGCAACTCCCAGAATTCCACAGCCAGCCATGCTGGCTGTGGAATTCTGGGAGTTGAAGTCCACATGCCTTAAAATGGTCAAGGTTGAGAAACACTGTTCTAGATGAAGTCAGTTTTCCCTGGAAAAAGCCAAGTTCTCAACTTTAGTCCTCCTAGGCGTGATCTCCTGCTGGAGCAGCACATAAAAAAATGTGCCCATTACATTTTCACTCCTTTAGTTAAGCTGGTCATCACTTGTGGCCCCCACCAAGAAGTTCTAGCTGTGCAGGGGAAATCAAACCAGTCTGTCTTATATCACAGTGCGCAGATGAAAGGGGAGAACTTACATTAACAGAATAACAGAATTGGAAAAAACGTTGGAGGTCTTCCACTCAAATCCCCTACTCCTGCAGGAGACCCTATACCAGGGATAGGCAACCTTGGCTCTTTTATGATTTGTGGACTTCAATACTCAGAATTCCTGAACCAGCCATGCTGACTCAGGAATTCTGGGAGTTGAAGTCCACAAGTCATAAAAGCCAAGGTTCCCTACCCCTGTCCTATACCATTCTGGACAAATGGCTGTCTAATCTCTTCTTGAAAATCTCCAGTAATAGAACACCCACAACTTCTGGAGGCAAGTCGTTCCACTGATTAATTGTTCTCACTGTCAGGAAATTCTTCCTTAATTCCAGGTTGCTTCTTTCCTTGATTAGTTTCCATCCATTGCTTCTTGCCCTGCCTTCAAGTGCTTTAGAGAATAGCTTGACCCCTCCTCTTCTTTGTGGCAGTTCCTTAGTTGGAACCGTGTAGATTGGAACATTGGAACTGTGTCATGCAAAAGCAGAAAGTCACATTGCTGCAGCACAGCATGAAACTAGTGTTATGCAGTGTGTCACAACAGTAGCATTGAAGCAGCACAACACAAACTCTTTTTATTTCATAGTATGTCAGGAGGCAGAGCTTATGTTGTGATGTAGCAGAAGCCTATGAATACCTGCGGCTATTATCATAAATTACAAATAGTAACAAGCTCTACATGTGCCTTTGAAAACAATTTGGAAACTGCCAGTTATAAAATAGAACAGTGGATATAAAATAGTGGATAAGGACTTCTGTCTAGCACAGGTAGTCCTTGACATATGACCATAATAGAGTCTATGACATATGTCATGAAGGTTGTAAAAGGGGTTGGTCATATGACCGACCTGATTTTACAATCTTTTTGCAGCATTCATTAAGTGAATGCATCAACCATAACATGAATGCTACAGTCATTAAGCAAACCCAATGTTCGATACAGCATCAATTTGCCAAAAACCAGAAGTTAAATGCCAGTTTTAGGCGTAATCATTGTAAACAGTGATCACATGACCATGGAACTCTGCAAACAGGCATAAATGCAGCCATGTTGCTAAACACCCAAAGTGCAGTCACATGACCATGGAAAGGGAACAATTGGCAGAATTTTAGAACCAGGTTGTAAGTCCCCTTTTTCAGATAGGTTGTAACTTCTAACAGTCATAAGTCAAGGACTGTCGGTCTTACACCTGTCCTCCTGTTGCTCTGTTGGTTGACAGTAGGATTCTGGGCCCAGTTCAATGCACTGATTTTGATCTATCATAACCAAGCCTTATAGGATTAGGAATTATCTCAATTAGCCAGTAAAGCTAGTTGGGCATCTATCAGTAAGCAAAGAACTCATGATTCCTGAAGCCACTTAGATTCAGACAAGGAATCTCCCTTGTCTGTGCACACATGTAAGGAGAGAATGCAGTAAGTCCTGGATCAAGGTGAATTTAAAGCGATGGGACCCTATAGGTAGTGCTTCTTTATTTTGGCTCCCATGCCACAGGACACCTTACCCCCAGAATCTGGTATCCTGTGTAAGTATTGAACCGTACTGCTTTTGTTGACTTCGTTTTCTGATTCTTATGGTAAACTACCAGGAGTCACAATGAGCTGAGTGGTATAAAAATAGATGTAAGAGATAAAGAAAGACAGGCAAAAGGATGTGTACACTTATCAATTATTGATTATGTGCCATCAAGTCAGAAGTCGTATCTTAGCAACTGCATAGGTAAATTTTCTCCACGACAATTTGTGCCTAACCAGGTCTTTCAGATCTGCCAGTGGTGCATCCATTGCTACTCATCAATACTTTTTCTATCCTTCAAAGTTCAACTTTTGCTTCCACAGATGCTCAGACAGAATACCATTGCTTGCAGTGTTCAGATGATTTTATTGATGTTCTGGTCAATAATTTATGGGGGATAAAATATAGAGCGTGATCATCTGAAACGTTTCTTTAGCCAGATATATTGGATTGATTGAAACAATTATATAAACTTGAATGAATATTTTGATGCAATCCAAGGCATCAGTTTTGGTCTCCTGTTCACAATGGGACTAAAAAAAACATGAATTCTTCCATTACTAATAGATTTCCAACTATAAACTATGCTTTATGGATTTAAGGCAAGCTGATTTCATGTGGATCCTTATAGATCAATTTTGACTTCAGCATGGATTCTTAATTGTGGTTTGTTCCACTGCTCTAAATCAAGAAATAGAAAACTGCAATTAATGAAAAAAAAAATCCTGGTTTCTTTATTCATTTTCGTAAATGGATAAAGATAGGAATCTCATCCTTAAAGTAAGAATAGAAGAATAAAATTTTATAAATACTCACCTATTAATAGTAATTGTAGTTATTTGTTATTCTGATTTATGTAACTCACCAATAACTTACCTGACATTGGGCTCAGGTTAATTCATGCAATACGAATAAATAATAGTAATAGTAATGATAGATGACCAAGCTACTCATTCAATGGCTTGAATCTACAAAGACTTTAAAATACCAATGAATCAAGTAGGCAGATAATAAAATCATAATTTAAATACTACTTACCTTTAATAACTGCAGAATGTTGGGAGATAAATCCTGTGTGTATCGACATGTAGATTCTAAATTATAATTGAAGTATCATTTCTTCCTAATGACTTTTTCAAGGTTTCATGTCATCACCTTTGGATAAATCAAAAATGGTTTTTTAAAAAAAGAATCCCTGTTCCTTTGAGAGTGTCATCTAATCTTTGGTAATATAATTTAAACAAGTGTCCATATATCGTTCTTATGATTGCATTTTATGAATATGCCTGGACAATTCTTCCTCGGGCCTATCTAAGCAAGGAATTGTGCTCCTGACATATCGAGCGAAAAATAAATGTATATTACATTCTGATCCATGTTAATTGGTTTTATACAACAACATTTTCTGTCATAGCAAAAAAAGGATTGCCCAGTTTGATGGCTGATCTTGATTGAACTGGTAAAGTTGGTGAGGTGTAGAGGAGGTTTAGCCTTCCAAGTTTACATTGCAAAATCTGCAAGAAGAATGGAATGGAATGGAATGGAATAGAGTAGAGTAGAGTAGAGTAGAGTAGAGTAGAGTAGAATAGAATAGAATAGAATAGAATAGAATAGAATAGAATAGAATAGAATAGAATAGAATAGAATAGAGCTGGAAGGGACCTTGGAGGTCTTCCAATCCAGCCCTTTGCTCAAGCAGGAGGACCTATACCAGGGGTAGGCAACCTTGGCTCTTTTATGACTCGTGGACTTCAACATGGCTGGCTCAGGAATTCTGAGAGTTGAAGTCCACGAGTCATAAAAGAGCCAAGGTTGCCTACCCCTGACCTATACTATCTCAGATAACTAAATGGCTGCAAATGTATAAAGATAATGGTAATTTTCTTTGTTGCCATCTAATGTATGTCTGAATTTTTGCACGCTTTATGTGGTAGTCCTTGATTAGCAAGTGAGTAAAAGACTCCCAGGAAATTCCAAACTAAAATGGAAAGTTAAAAATAGTTCCCAGAAGAAAGCATTATGGAATCATATTTGTACTGATGCTAAAATATATGGACAGCCGTGAAATCATCAGAAGCTTGAAGGAAGCTTTATCTTTCAAGTACGACTAAAGTGATTTTGAATTAATGAAGTATAACTAGAAGCAGGATGTGTAGTTTGTAGATTGTAAGTGATTGATGTCAAGCAAATAAAAACAAATGTGTTCCTACGTCTGTTGGCTTCAAAGGAAAGAGAAGGCTGACTTTAAAAGACTGTTGTATTCTTGTTTGTTTTCCTTTGCCACGGCTAAGTTGTACAGATAAGGCAACAACAAAATGGAAATGTGCACAACTTAGTTTTTGCATTTGTGTTCAATTAGGCTGAAAGCAAACCCCCTTGCTGCATCGTAAAAAGAATTGTCCTGATTTCACTTTTAGCATACAGATCTCTATCATTCTTGAAGTTAGTTTAAGTTGGCTATCTGGGGGATGAATAACCCAGCACCTCACACATGACCTCTGAACTTATCTTCTTTCAAATATTCTGTAGTTAACTTTTGCTGAAAATTAGTGGTAAGGCTTCTCAACATTCTGTAAAGGTAAAAGTTTCCCCTATCCAGTCATGTCCAACTCTAGAGCCAGTGGTCGTCTCTGTTTCTTAGCTAAGGGAGCCAGTGTCGTCCGAAGATGCTTCCGTGGTCATGTGGTCAGCATGACTATACACCAAGGCACACAGAATGCTGTTACTTTCCCAACTAAGTGGTACCCATTAATCTACTTGCATTTGCATGCTTTCAAACTGCTAGGTGAGCAGAACCTGGGGCAAGTGACGGGAGCTCACCCTATCACACAGCGCTTGGGTCTCAAACCTGCTCAGTCAGCTTTCCAACTGACAAGTTCAGTGTCTAACCTTTAAGCCAGGGATCTCCAACCCCTGGTCCGTGGACCGGCACTGGGCCATGGCATGCCTGAAACCAGTCCGTGCAAACAAGCAAAGCCCCATCCGTGAGATGCAGGCAGTACATGAAACCACGCCTCCTCCGATCTGCAAAAAAAAACCTCTCCCCATGGTACCGGTCCCTGGTGCTCAAAAGGTTGGGGACCTCTGCTCTAAGCACTTGTGCTCTCCATTATTCTTTAGAAGCTTTCAAATAGGGTAGTGATAGTGGTTGTTTTATAAGAGAAAAAACTGGGTTCCTCTCCTTTCCCCAAAGTAAGAAGAAATAGAATTCCTGATCTCACCCATATAAGAGGCATTTGCCTACCGGGTCTATTTTTCCATCCCAAAGTTGCTGCTCTACTCCAGCCTTTCCCAACTTGGAAGTCTACCAGCATTGTGGGACTTTAATTCCCAGATCTGTGGGTAGAAAGAACTTGCAGAGATGCAAATTCTAACACATTGGACAATGATCAGGGACAACATTCTTTGAAAGAAGGGCAGTTCCAAAGAGCAGCTAATGGTGGTTGGGTTGAGCCAGACAAGAAATGGACATGAATATATAGGTAATCCTTGACTTACAACAGTTCAGTTAGTGACTGTTCAAAGTTACAGTGACTCTGAAAAAAGCGACTTATGAGCGGTTTTCATACTTAGGACCGTTGTAGCATCCCCATGATCAAGACTCGGATGCCTGGCAACTGACTCATATTTATGAACGGTTGTATTGTCCCAGGCTCATGCAATCCCCTTTTGCGACTTTCTGACAAATCAAAGTCAATAGAGGAAGCCAGATTCCCTTAACAACAGTGTTACTGATTTAAGAACCGCAGTGATTCACTTAACAACTGTGGCAGGATAGGGGCAAAATTAAAACGGGGTAAAATTGACTTAACCAATGTCTCACTTAGCAAATGAAATTTGGAGCTCAGTTGTGGCCATACGTCGAGGACTACCTGTATCTCATAGCTCTGCTGCTGATAGCGCTGAACTACGTACGATTAAAGTGTTGTGCCATGTTGACATCTTGGTCTTTTCTGCCTCACAGAATTAAGAAGAACTGCTCTTCCCTCCTCTTCTCTTTTTTCAGGGGTGAACAGAAAGATTGTGTATTCCTTGGCAGATTCTTCAGAAGGCTTCTTCTCTGTCGACATGTCCTCGGGCATCATCATTTTAGAACATCCTCTTGACCGGGAACTTCAGTCTTCCTACAATGTCACCATTAAAGCTTCCGACCAGGGCATCGTGCAGACTCTCTCATCATTTGCTACCGTTACAATTACTGTCCTGGACATTAACGACAACCCCCCTGTCTTTGAGAGGAGAGATTACCTGGCTGCAGTGCCTGAAGACACCTCACCAAATGCCGAGATTATTTTTGTGTTTGCCACCAGCAAAGACATTGGTACAAATGCAGAGATCACCTACCTCATTAGATCTGGTAATGAAAAAGGAAAATTCCAGATTGATTCTAAAACAGGTAAGTTTACCAAAGTAAGGAGAAGGCTTATAAAGCAGGTTTAAAAATAATCCTTTCATTTTATAGTTGGGTAAGAAAGACACACCACTGCTCATATTTAGCTTGGGTGCCATCGTTACTAATTTATGCTTCAACCCAGGAGCAACAGAACAATATTACAAAAAAATCCCGAAGAATCTCCATTGTGCCTAGTAAAATTCAATATAGAACTTAATGGCTGCAGTCCTCATTTTCACTAACATAAGTGTCATTGAACTTCTGAATAAGAACAGGTTGGATTTTGCTGTAGAAAACATTGCCAAGCGTGTAAGATTTCTGTTACACAAGTGAAGCACTTGGCATCCATTTCTGTTAAATTTCAGTCAGTTCACTTCAGGCCCTTTTGCTAATCTTGAATTATTACTTTGGGGCTGTTAGCTATCTCACCCAATTGCGTGTCATCTGAAAATTTGATAAGCAGTCCCTGTGGCTCTTCATCCAAATCATTAGAGAAAGTATTGAAGATGAGAGGACTCAGGAGGGATCCTTGTACCACTCCACGTGACACTTTCCTCCAGTTACGATGAGCAAAGTTTGAGTGCAGTTTTCGAGCCAACTATGTACCCATTTAATTCTCATGCCATTTATCCCACACCCGGCTAGCTTGCTAATCAGCTTGTCATGAGAAACCGCTAAGGCCGTTTCTCTGTAGTATTCAGGACTGAAGCAACACTAAACTGGATCTAGTTAACTGATTCCTTCCAAAAATATTTGTAATCAAATAACCATTTCTGTCAGATATGAAAGACCAGGTTCATACGTGAAGGTCGAATTAAACTGATTTATTGCTAAAAAGTCTCTGCTCTGGAATCTTCTCAACTAACAGCACCTGCTTGGACTTAGATACAGGTCAATGGAATTCAAGGAGGCTTTGGACTTAGTCCGCTTATGGCTATGTAGAGATTCTAGGCTGATTCATCTTTTAACTCCGCCCCTAGGTTCTGCCACTCCTTTTCCTGAAAATTCCTTTCCCTTGTCCAAGAAAGGGATATTTGCAACAGGAGTGGAATTTGTCCAAATTCTTGATATTTAAGGAGGGTCAGATAGACTATGCTGCTTTTAAAATGTATAGAGCAGACATGTCAAACACAAGGCCTGGGGGCCGGATGCGGACCGCAAAGTGGTTTCATGTGGCCCGTGAAGCCATCCTGGAAACAGTGAGGGAACGGCCCCCGCTGCCTTGGCCCTGGCCCAGGCTGGCCGGGAGCCAATGTACAATTTTGTGATGGCCATCTGTGCTGAAATGTATTCAGTCTTAGCTCCACAAGGCCGTCCAGAAACAGCGAGGAACCAGCCCCTGCTGCATTGGCCCCGCCCCCTGGGTGCATGCTGGGGAGGTGTTACCCTTTGTGAGGAATGAAGAAATGCACCATGCCTTGGCGCTTGCCCCGGTCCCACCCCCTTGTGCCAGAGACCCTCAGATCTGTCCCACTCCTGCCCAGGCCCCCACAGGCACCCTTGACACGAACAATGTAGAGCTGGCCATGCCCATCCAGTAGGCCACACCCACTCCATCCACACCCACCCAGTAGGCCACACCCACCCTGGCCACCAAGGGCAACCACATTACTGATGCGGCCCTCAATGAAATTGAGTTTGACACCCCTGATACAGAGAATCTAAAAGTGGGAGAAACAGCCACGGTCTAGTTCTGATATGTGAAATGAGATGGGATGGGATGGGATGGGATGGGATGGGATGGGATAAGATGAGGCAAGGTAAGATAAGATAAGATAAGATAAGATAAGATAACCTTTATTGTCATTTTTTACTATGAGCATACTGGCCCACATTAAAAATGAAATTCTGTTGCCTGCTCTTTTTATTAGTTGAATTTGCCTTTCAAAGGGTTGGGTCCATTTAGATCAGCGGTTCTCAACCTATGGGTCGCGACCCCATTTGGGGTCGATCGAGCATTTTACGGGGGTCGCCAAACGATGCGATCCGCCATTTTCCCCCCTCAAGGGACGGTGCTGCGCATGCGCGCTGCACGGGGGGGCTGCACATGCGCGTCGCACATGGGGGCAGCGCCGCGCATGGGGGCGCCGCGCATGCGCGGCACATTTGTGTGACGGGAGTCGCCGTCACACAAACGTTGAGAAACGCTGATTTAGATCAAATAATATCTTTCAGTGGATTTGGAGAGTGCAATCAATTTGATATCAAGGTTTGATATGGCAAGATAATATAATATATATATATATATATATATACATGCATGCACAAAAGTCTGTCCAGTCTCCAAATCAATTTGAAGGCTTGAGATTTCGTTTGACAGTTCAGTTCAGAGGACCGGGCTGGAGTGTGGAAAATGGAGTGAGGTAGTTGTGCTAATGATGGAAAGTCATCCGGCCTTAGGAGGGCATTCGGGAAGGAAGGTGCTGCCACTGAGAAGACCCTGTTTTGTGTAGGTGCTCGTCAAATTTCATTCAGATTTTGGAAACCTGCTATCTAGCATCAAAGAAGTCACAAGAGAAGCAGCATACAGATGATGGTACAGGTCCTCGACTTAACGTCAGTTCATTCTGTGATCATTCATAGTCACAACAGCATTGAAAAAAGTGACTTATGGCCGTTTTTCATCCTTGTGATGTCGTGTGTTATGGGATCACCTTTTGAGACTTTCTGAGAAGCAAATCGGTGGGGAAGCCAAATTCATTTAACAAACCATGTTACTAACTTACCACTTGCAATGATTCACTTAACAGCTGTGACAAGAATGGTCATAAAATGGGGCAAAATTCATTTAACAACTGCTTCGCTTAGCAAAAGAAATTTTGGGATCGGTTGTGATCGTAAGCTGAGGACTACCTGTATTTGGGTCTTTTATTCCCTTTAGATTCATATACCAGTTGTATTTTTACAAAGACTTTTCTCAATGACAATATGTTAACTGAAAAAAAAAAGTCTCTTCTATATTTTTCCATTGCTATCAAGGAAAGGGGGAAAATAGGTTCCTTCATGCTTCCATGCAGAGTTTTTGTGCTTTTTTTTTTTTTTTGCTTTGTTTTGTTTTCCTATTCCCTTTCTTTTCTGTCAGTTTCTGAAATCTCTTTTTTTTTTTTTTAGTCAGAAGAGATTTTGCGATACCACTCAAGGGCACTTTAAGTTTTAATATTTGAGAGAACTGGAGTGGTTTTAGCATATTATGTCTCCTTGGTATTGGAACAAAAACAATAGTTAAAGCTCTATTTGCAAGGAAGACAAAGAAGGTAAATCAATTAAAAATAGTGACATTTAATTACCAATGAGGCATTTATTATGTGTTAATGAATGACAGCTTCCCTATCAACAAATCAGCAGTAGGCATGAAAGACTCAGACTCAAAGCAATCCTGTAATTATGTAGAATATCTGATGAATTTATTACTGTAATTTTTTTTTAAAAAAAAATCTTATCCCCAAACCTAGTGGTGATGGATGTTTTATGCCAATGCTTATTCATGCTGACAAATGTACAGTATCTTTTCCCCTGAAGTTGGAAAGAACTGCACCTGCATTTCCCAGGGCAAATGGTTGAAGAGAAATAAGAATTTTGGTCAATAGTCTGAAATCAAGGGCAACCTTCGGTGGTTGATATGAAGATAGGAAGATAGTGGATGGCTGAACTAGATAGTCTTTGGAGGCCTTTTTGTTTTTTCAAATTGAATTTTCAAATTCAAATCATAAGGCAGTGGTGGCAAACCTATGGCATGGGTGCCAGAGGCGGCACTCGGAGCCCTCTCTGTGGGCACAGGTGCCGTTGCCCCAGCCTTGCCTCTCCCCGCAACCCCCTCCTCTCCAGCAGCTCCCCTGAAGGAGAGTCGCCCTCGAGCGTGACCCACACAGAGCAGCGCAGCCAAGGACATGGCAGCCAGGCAGCGTAGACAAGACTCTGCCCTCACACCCCATCATGCAGTTGATGCTGCAGGGCGCGGACAGAGGGTGGTGGCCGCCATAGCGCTGCTGGGCTGCCTGGGTGATCTGCGGCGGGCCCTGGAGGCGGTGAGTGGTCCTGTGGGCAGGCGGGGCGAGGGATGGGGGAGCAGAGCGGGGGTGGAGCAGGGGTGGGGCCAGTTTTTGGGCACTCGGTCTCTAAAAGGTTCGCCATCACTGCCATAAGGGGTAGGGCACTTTTGGGAACACGTCTGGAAGGTGATGCTCTCACTGCCAGTTCACAAACTATCCACATACCAGAAGTACACTATTTATTTATTTATTTATTTTATGAGACTTATATACCGCTTTAAGTACAAGCACTCTCTAAGCGGTGTACACCAGTAAGCAATGTGTGTGTGTGTGTGTGTGTGTGTGTGTATATATATATATATATATATATATATATATATATATATATATATATATTTACATTGCCCCCAACAATCTGGGTCCTCATTTTACCTACCCCGGAAGGATAGAAGGCTGAGTCAACCTTGAGCCGGTGAGATTTGAACCGCTGACCTGCTGAACACAGTCAACTAAAGTGGCTTGCAGTACTGCACTCTAACTGCTGCGCCACCTCGGCTCATGCGCCACCTCGGCTCAATGCGCACTACTGCATTGAGATTATTCTATTCTTAACTTAGCTCTCCAAAGATACTGTCTACTAGCTCAGCTTATCTTTGTCTTATCTTGGTCTGTTGTTTTTTTTTTGTTTGTTTTTTTGAAGTGCTGTCTTCTAAAATCATACTAGAGTTTTGGATACCAGCCATTTTTATTTTCCAAGAATACATCCTGGAAGTGAAGTTGAAGCTAGAGACTTGTGCTTTGCCGTATATCAGCTTCCAGTTTTTAATTTTCAGTGAAAGTAGAAAAAAGATGTCAGCTGAGAGAGTGTTCACAACACATGGAAGACTTATCCATAATTTCAACTGGGAGACTGTGAGCATCTTCAACCAAGCCAAGTCCAAAAATGCTAGAGAATTCCTGGAAGCCTGGCACTCAGACAAATTGGCCATCAACAGGCACATAGAGATAAATGACATCTGCATAGCATTCAGAAAAGACAAAAAGAGAAACTAAATTTCCCAGGACAAATGGTTGGAATAAAATAGGACTTTTAGCCAACAGTCTGAAATCAAGGCAATCAGCACCCAGGTGAACAGAGATTAACACCAAGACCAACATGACCAACAATCAACAAGTAAACAATAACCCAATTAAGGAACTACCAATTCAGACAAGCAATCTAACAATAAACAATAGCTTCATCAAGGAACCACCAAGACCACTCCCACCAATACTGACAGGACAAACGACAGGGGTCTTCAAACTTGGCGCTTTTATGACTTGTGGACTTCAACTCCCAGAATTCCTCAGTCAGGCACGCTGGCTGAGGAATTCTGGGAGTTGAAGTCCACAAGTCATAAAAGGGCCAGGTTTGAAGACCCTTGCACTAATATATAAAGTGAGAACCAACTCCACATCCTACTAACACTGGTGATGTTAACCTACTGTAGTTTGGTAATGAAACATCTGCAAGAAAATAACCAAGCTCAGCCCCAAGGATCCCACAGAATCTAAATATTTGTTTGAAATTGAAAAGATAGGGATCAAATACCAATAACACCTAAGGAATTATGTCTCTATGACAATTGAATTTCCAATTCAAATATTTCTCTGCTTTAATAAAAGGAATCCAGTGACTTTTGCATTGATTCAGATATTTTCTTTCATTTTTACCTGCTTTGCTACTTCCAACATGAAACGTGTATCGGAAGTGGCTTTACTATGTAATCTATGTTGTCACTGTTTGCTTTGTGTTTTTCTGCTGTCACTGAAGTTACTTGTATTTGCTTTCAAAGAAGAGTTTATGACTTTAGGGTTGCATATGATATTCATATCTTGTCTTCTCTCTCCAAGGGTCCATATCTGTAATTGAAGCCTTGGACTTTGAAATGTGTAAGGACTTCTTCCTTGTCATTGAAGCTAAAGATGGGGGCAGCCCAGCTCTGAGTGCCGTGACAACAGTGAATATAAATGTGACGGATGTTAATGATAATCCACCAAGGTTTAGCCAAGATGTCTATAGTGCGGTCATCAGTGAAGACGCATCAGTTGGGGACTCATTAATAATGGTGAGTTCTGAGGTTTTCTACCCGTATCACCAGGGTAAATGGCTAATTGTAAGTGAATTCAGGATGCACTTTCTTAGTGATAACAGATGTTGATAATTTTGAAAATGCTGTATAGCAAGTCTAGGAAAGGTTTATGCATATAGCATAGTTAGGAGAAACGTGGGTGGATATCTAGGGCTTCATTACAGTCTAGTGCATAGATAGATAGATAGATAGATAGATAGATAGATAGATAGATAGATAGATAGATAGATAGATAGATAGATAGATAGATAGATAGATAGCTAACTAGCTGTCTGGCTAACAATACAGACAGACAGACAGAGGTAGGATATATAAGGAGAGAGACATGGGGAGATAGAAAGGGAGGTAAATAGGGAGATATTTGCTTTTTAAAATTTATCTTGGCGACTTTTTGAGCTGACAGTCTAGTACGGAGCTAGATAGATAGCTAACTAGCTGGCTGGCTAACAATAGAGATAGATAGATAGATAGATAGATAGATAGATAGATAGATAGATAGATAGATAGATAGATGGATGGATGGATGGATGGATGGATGGATGGATGGATGGATGGATGGATGGATGGATGGATGGATGGATGGATGGACGGAGGGAGGGAGGGAGGGAGGGAGGTAGATGAATAGGTTGGGAGAAATTTCTTGACTGGCAAACTTAAAATTAAATGTTATTCAGAAAATTTTTACAGGAACAATATATTTTTTGAAAGTTTTGTTAAAATGCAGCTTACATCAACCCAATTTATTACTGTGCTAAGCCATAATGTAGTTTCTTTAGTTTGCTTATAGCATGCTAGGATACACAATCAAGCCAATTATAAATCATGATAAAGCAAATCATGGATGTGTGAAGCAAGTCTTCAAATTGCAAGATGATGATTGAATTAATTTCCCAAACTTGAGAATAACTCCCCAGTCAATTTTCCCCATATGGACGTTTTTGGTCTAGCATGCAGTTAATCGTGGAACTTTATTTGGGTGAGGCCCTGATTGGTCATTGTCATTGTTCTCCCTCCTGTTTATAATTCTTCGTTTTTCCAAAGTTGATAGCCGAAGATGTGGACAGTCCTCCCAATGGACAGGTATCTTTCTCCATTATCAGCGGAGATCAAAATAATGAATTTTCAATTGATCCTGGCTTGGGACTGATTAAAGTTAAAAACAGATTGGACCGAGAACGGGTAAGGTCAACCAGTTTCATATTTTCTCCATTGCTTTCTTCATGCAGCTAGTATTAATAATTGATAAATACCTACGGATTTATGTTATAGAAGTAAAAAAAATTATTTCGCAGGATTATTCTTTGTCATTTTCCTAAGCAGGCATTGCCATAGCACGGGAATAATGCTAGAAGAAGAAGATTCTTTGGCATTTTCCCATTGCTTTTCTGTTTAAACACCCTCCTTTCCCAGTATCCTAATCCCAGTTTGTAGTATTTGCTACATTTCTGACATCATGATTGTAGAAGCTTAGAGTTCCTATTTTTTCAGAAAAAATACAAATTAAATAAGAGAGAGAGAGGGAGAGGGAGAGAGAGAGATACAGGACAGACTAAAATAAACATGCAGTTTTCCTGTGAGGTGCTTTCTTTCTAAAAATTAGTACAGTTCATATGATATAGGAGTGAAGGTGTATTGAACCAAAACTGAGATGCCTCAAGTTCAAGCCATCTACAAAAATTCACTGGGTGATTTTAGGCCAATATATCTTAGTTCAATCTACCTTGCATAATTTTTGTGAGGATAAAATATATGAATATGTAAACTACCTTGAGATTCTGAAGAATAGGTGGAACATAGATCTAAGGATGGGATGGGATAGAATAGAATAGAATAGAATAGAATAGAATAGAATAGAATAGAATAGAATATTCTGTATTGGCAAAATGTGATATAAAAATAGCACAAGTGTGTTATAAACATATCACAAGATATAAACAATATATTCTGGGAGTGCAAGTTCTATTGATATAACCCATTTTCACTATTAGATTTTCTGCAACCCTAGTTATTGCATGTTTCACATTTACTTTGTGAATGGATTAGTTTGTATACATTGCTGACTGAGGACCTCAAGGAAATTAGCTGAAGCCAAATACAGTGAATGGATGAGGCAGGCAGGCAAAGATAATCAGGACCTTGGAGAGCTCAATGCATGGAAGGCAGGCTGGGATAACTGTCCACTCAACATGAACATGACTTTCCTTCCAGCACTCAGCTAAGCTCATACTAACTAAGACTTTATTTAATAAAGCTAAAAAGCCAGTAATTCCTTAGCTCCAATCCAATTTTAGATTGCTGAATTTTAGATTGAAAGAGCTCATTACCCTTTCTAAGGCCTGGATAGCTGGGAAATTGCAGGGACTAAAGAAAGATGTTGGAAGACAAATCCAAACCGTAAAATCATTGTAATGGATACCATAGTAGGGTAACCTGGAGTTCAACGTCTTTGGTAGGGATTGACACTAGAGAAGACCAGATCCCAAAGACTTCCAAGTCCCTTAAACTCCAGAATGTACAGGTGGTCCTCGGCGTATGACCACAACTGAGCCCAACATTTCCATTGCTAAGTGAGACTGTTGTTAATGGAGCTTTGCCCCATTTTTCTTGCCACAATTGTGAAGCAAATCACTGCAAGTTGTTAAGTCCATACATAACATGGTTATTAAGTGAATCTGTCTACCCTATTGACTTTGCTTGTCAGAACGACCTCAGGGCACTAGAGCCATAACAAATATGAGCCAGTTGCCAAGCATCTGGATTTTGATCACATGACCCTGGGAATGCTGCAATGGTCATAAGTGTGAAAAATGTTCATAAGTTACTTTGTTCAGTGCCGTTGTAACTTTGAAGAGTCATTAAACAAATGGTTGTAAGTCAAGGACTATCTTTCTAGAGGAGCTGGCTATTTGGGGAGTAACACTAAACTACGGTTTATTGCTATGGGAACAGTCTCCAATACCTCTTGGCTCTTCTTTCCTCTATTGCAGCTTCAGGTAAGACAAAGAAGGGTCTTCCCTCTCCTTGCAATTATTTCAGAGCAAAAAAGTTATTAGAAGTAATTTAAGGCAGGGGTGAAGCTTCCCAAATTGCACCAGTGAATATCAGGAGTAGAACACTAAATTTTGGTGGATGGGGTTTGCTACTGATTGCCCAGCGGGAAATCCTGGAAAGCGTACACATTAAACCTACAGTTGATGTAACATCCTTTTGGAAGTCACCATCCTTCTCCAAGCATTCCCCCAAACAAGCCTAAATTTCTGAATTAAACATTTCAGCTTTGCTGAAATGATTGTGTTGTTATCCTATTCCCTGCTATCTTTAAAACCTGCAATTCCAACTGCAAAATAGTATTTGTTTCTTCGTTTAGGGCAGTGTTTTTCAACCTTGACAATTTTAAGGCATGTGGACTTCAACTCCCAGAATTCCACAGCCAGCATTGCTGTTGTGGAATTCTGGGAGTTGAAGTCCACATGCCTTAAAATGGTCAAGGTTGGGAAACACTGGTTTAGGGAAACAAGCTGGTACTGTAAACCAGGAATCAAAGTTCTATGCCTCTTTGGCCTCATTCTAAATGTTCTCTAAGAGCTACCGGTTTATAATTTTAAGCATGATGTCAGTTTAGTTTGGCAGCCTACTCAGTAGCATGCCAGAGAGCCATGTGGAAAAAGTAGAGAAAAAAGAGGGAGGATGGAAGAGGAATGGCTGCTACTAATTTTAAACTAGTATTCATAATTGTCCCACCTTCAGCTGCTATCACCTTCACTTGGATCTGCATGCCAAACTGCCAGATGGTTCTAAAAAATGTGTTAGCCACCAATAAGTTACAGCTCCACTCTAAATCAGTGTAACACTGTAATTTATCTGAGTTGAGGCAAGAAGTTTAAGAAGACCAAAAGGTTCCAGGTTTATCTGAGTGTTGGAGGAAGACCACGATTATGCAAACTGAATGTCCAAGACAGCAAACTGATCTAGCTGCAAAACACCAGATAAGCACCAGATGGTGCCAAAGAGGTACTAAAATCTATATCCTGCAATGTACAGTGGGGAGGCCTTTGGTTGCGTCCATCCCTAATTTGACAGTCCTAATGCAATAGACATTAGCATACAGTTAACATAGATGCAGGACTACGGTATTGTGCCAAAATGAAGTTTATTGCTGCATAAAGTCCATTTCATCCCCTAATTCATCTGCATTGTTGATCGCGCCAAATAAGCCTCCTTGAAGAACAAATCTTCCAACCACACAATGCCAACATGATGTGGAAAACCAGACTAAAATCATCAGAAAAGGATATCACTTTTTTTCACAGAACTGAATCTTGCCAGGGAAAAGGGTAGGTAGTTCTCGACATGACCACAGTTGACTCCAAACGTTCTGTTGGTAAGCAAAACAATGATTAGGGGGCTGGACTAGAAGACCTCCAAGGTCCCTTCCAGCTCTATTCTATTCTATTCTATTCTATTCTATTCTATTCTATTCTATTCTATTCTATCCTACCGTACCCTACCCTACCCTACCCTACCCTACTCTACTCTACTCTACTCTATTCTATTCTACTATATTCCATTCTATTCCATATTCTGTTCCATTCCCTATTCTATTCTATTCTATCCTACCCTATCCTACTCTACTCTACTCTACTCTATTCTATTCTATTCTATTCTATTCTATTCTATTCTATTCTACTGTATTCCATTCTATTCCATTCCATATTCTGTTCCACTCCCTATTCTATTCTATTCTATTCTATCCTATCCTATCCTATCCTATCCTATCCTATCCTATCTTACCCTACCCTACCCTACCCTACCCTACCCTGTTCCGTTCTGTTCTGTTCTACTGTATTCTATTCTGTTCTATTCTACTGTATTCTGTTCTGTTCTATTGTATTCTATTCTATTCTGCTGTATTCTAATCTAGTCTACTCTACTCTATTCTATTCTATTTGTTTAGCCCCATCTTACGACTTTTCTTGGCACAGTTGTTAAGTGAATCCCTGCAGTTGTTAAGTTAGTAACATGGTTGTTGAGTGAATCTGGCTTCCCCATTGATTTTTCTTGTCAGAGGATCCAAAAGTTGACCACATGATCCTGAGACACTGCAGCCATCATAAATACATGTCAGTGTATTTATTGGACACTGTCCCAAAGGTGCTTTTTCAGAAGGCAGCTGGACTTTCTTGTTTTTTCTTTGAAGACGTTTCACTTCTCATCCAAGAAGCTTCTTCAGCTCTGACTGGATGGTAGAAGGAGTATAAATCCTTCCATTCCCCATCATCCAGTCAGAGTTGAAGAAGCTTCTTGGATGAGAAGCGAAACATCTTCAAAGAAAAAACAAGAAAGTCCAGTTGCCTCTTGAAAAAGCACCTTTGGGACAACAAGGGAATGGAATATAAATCCTGGATGACTGACTGAGAATCTCCACAGACGTTTATGGGAACTGCAACTGTCATAAATACATGTCAGTTGCCAAGCATCCAGATTTTGATCCCGTGACCCTGGGGATGCTGCAACGGTTGTAAGTGTGCAGAAGGGTCATAAGTCACTTTTTTTCAGTGTTGTGTGTAACTTGGTCACTAAACAAATGGTCGTAAATTGGGGATTATCTGTAAAGCTTCATTCTTGTAAGGACCCACCCCACTTTGCATCTTAAGAAGACAGAACTCTTGGAATAATTCTTCCAACAGGAATCCTTTATTAAGAAGAAGTGGTTGCAGGCGTGCTAGACAGGACTTGGGGTCCAAGCCCTCCCATTCAAGGTTTTAAGGGGTTCCCCAGTAGTCCCACCCAATCAACCCCCCTTCCAGTGATAGTTTCAGGTATCACAATTCCACCCCTTTTTTTCTTTCTTCCATCTGGATGGAGACTTCAGATAAACTACATGAAAGGCAGATACCCTTCTTTGTTATGGTAAGGTTCTTTGGTGCTAACGCTTTGTGGTTACAATAAACACACATTCAGCATTCAGCTCCTTAGAAGTATACTGAAGGAAGTGAGGGCCATAAAGCCCCTTTGTTCTCCCCCTTCTCTCCCTCTTATGGCAGAATCCAGAGAAGGCAGAATTGGAGTTTCTATATTTGATAATTAAAGATGAAATATAATTGGATTCTGACATCCGGCCCCTCTTAAAAATAAGAGAGATCCACCTGAAAGAAAACACAACAAGTATAAAATTTAGT